ATCAAAAGTCTGTCGTAAATTAAATTTAAAAAGAAATTCGTACCATTTTGTAATCAGACCTCCTGAAACATAATCCGCAGCATAAACACGGGGTCGAAAGGATTGTTTAAATAATCGATAGAGGTAGCACGCCCTTCTCAAGTGGCAGAGCAGCTTGAGAAACACGCGAAGACAATCTTCTATGTCGGCCACTGGAATAAAGACGAAGTCAACATGTTTTGTTGCGGAACCTGTCTCGGCCTGCATTTAAAATACTTTTACCTTTATTTTAATTAGTTCTGCAACCCTCGGACCGTGCTTCCACCCAGCGTTTTGCATGACAAATCTTTATGGTGTGATTTCCATCAAGCCGAGACAAGTATTCCAACTGTCTCGAGCAAGCAGAAGATGTATTCATTTCACTGTTTTCGAATGCAGTATCTCGTAATTCCCATCATGTAATTTCAGAAGGCCAACAGGTTCTTCGATCATCTTCTTCGGGACACGGACAACTGTATTTTAACACTAACCGTGCCGAGCGCTGAAATACTAATTTCGCTGACTAATACGCATTGCCCCTTATCAAAATTACGAGACCGAATTTACTAAGTTTTTCGCAATTTTTATAGCAATATATGTTCAAATGATTAAATTCATTTAACGATTTCTGGTCGAAGCGTGTCTATATATAGTTGACGCTCAGTTTGTACAGTATTTTCCTCCTAATTCGCGCTCAGTTTGCGCATAAAAATGGACAATTTAAGAAGAGGAGATACGATTATTCGTGCCTTGCGGCTCATTTTCATTGTTGTTGACAACTGGTAACTATAAAAACGGATTTGAGGCTTATAATAGATTTTTATATGAATTTGGATTATAATGGATTTTTAATATAAATTTTAATTATAAATACGATCAAATAAGGGTAAATTTAATTATAATAATTTTGTATTAAGATTTTAAGTTCTAATAGAATTTTAATGAGAATATAAATTATTATAAATATTTATAATAGTTAGCTTT